AGCAATATTTTTAAATTTTAGGACCAAATGCACAAAGTTAATTATTACAGATATATTCAATATATTTGGAGTTTCCAAGATTTAATTCAAATAAATGGATATTAACTAATGACACAATCAGATCGCTTACAAAAATATAAAAGTACTTGAAAAATAAGATAAAAACAATTTGCAATGATTGTATAATTTTAATAAATTTTCATACAATGTTTATTTTTTTCCCCATGCAAAGAACATATATACAGTAATTTTTTTTTCTTGTCCATAAGAGGTTCAGTTGGGTTTAATAGAGAATTCATTTTAGTGTTCTTACTCCTTCAATAAAACTTGAAATTGAAGAGGAAAATATGAAACCCATTTGAATAGGATCATTTGTGTACTTTCAATTGTCAGTATCTGACAAATTGTAAAAATATCCACATCTGTGGTTTTCTTGATCTCAAATGAATGACAAGAGTTCACTCCCTAAAAGTCTGGACACTTAACGATACAATAAACATTGAAGGAAAAAAAAAAAAAAAGAAGAAATTCTTAATACTTTATGTATAAATGCATTCAATTCCCAGAATTGGGCCTCAAAATAAATTATATTTTGAAATCCAGTTGCCACATCTTTGAGAACATTGGCCTACTTATGGTAAAGCCACACTGAAAGCACCGGTTCTTGTCTGACTTGAATTCCAAGAATTGGGCCTCAAAATAAATTATATTTTGAGATCCAGTTGCCACATCTTTGAGAACATTGGCCTACTTATGGTAAAGCCACACTGAAAGCACCGGTTCTTATCTGACTTGAATTCCAAGAATTGGGCCTCAAAATAAATTATATTTTGAGATCCAGTTGCCACATCTTTGAGAACATTGGCCTACTTATGGTGAAGCCACACTGAAAGTACCAGTTCTTATCTGACTTGATCAGTACCAAGAAGAATGACCACTTAATAACACTGTAAGAAGCACACATGCTAGGGGGCCAACATTTCAGTGCTATATATATATATATATATATATATATATATACACACACACACATATATATATATATATATATATATATACAAGTATAGGATTGGTGAATACAGAATAAATTCCAATAACCAAAAAATACTATTCTTAAAAGAGTGCTCATTACACAGAGCAAATATTCGAAAATTATAACGTTATAAAATCACTACAAAAATAGCCATTTTGTTTCAACACTTCTGGTGTCTTATCATTTTATAACATATTTATATTATAATTTTCAAATATATTTTATATATATATATATGTATGTATGTATGTATGTATGTATCAACAGCATGCAGTGCCACTTTTATAGAAACGTATAGGCACATCTTGAAAACATGTACATACGTCAACAGCAGTCAATGTTAGTTTTGGAAAGACATATAAGTACATCCAAAGCAGCAAAAGTGTCAAGCATCTTGGAACTTGGTTAGTAATTACAGAGGTAACAGTTTATGAAGACTGAGTACTGCAAGTAGTTTGTGGCCTTCTGTCAGACTAAATGAAGCGTATTAAACAAGAATATGGCAATGTTTTATCCACAAGATATGTTTTTATTTTAATGAAATTAGGCGGTCAGGAAATATGTTTCAAAGATTAAATCAGTATTACTAAACAATTTAATCTGGCACCATGCTGAATAAAAATTAGAAAGGTAGTGTTGTACCAATCTTCCAAATGTCAAGAGACTGCTGCTTGTCTTGAAATGCTTGCTTTTACTTAAGCTGAAACACTGGCAACTGCTAATATTATAGAATCATGCAACTGTCTTAGCCACCAAGCTAGTCATAGCATCTATTTCCAGTATTTGGGATCAAGGAACAGTAACTTCCCACAAATCGTGAGCACTTTCCTCTGAATTTTTGCCAAGTACAATAAGGATTTGAATAGATATTTATCAAGAATCCCTTAAATTCAGTACAATGCCAAAGCAGAGAAAATAGATAAAAAAAATTATGTTGCGCCAATCTAACAAGTGTCAAGAGCCTGTCAACATGCCTTGAAAATCAGCATCCAAAATCTTGAATTTTACTTAAGCTTGAACACCAATCACTGGCACAAGTGAGATATACACAACTATCCCAGCTGATAGGCAAGGTCAACTAAATGTCTGTAAGCAAAGTATATTGTATACTTTCAGAACAGTTTTAAAGTAGCTTTGCTTTTTGAAAATTTGGCACTATTTAGATTAACTTGTCAGTTCGTAAAAAAAACAAAAAGGATTCTAACAATTTTTATGAATTAGCATTCATTAGACCTTCTTATACACTCATCATTAATCAGAATATAAAAAAAAAATTTTTTTAGCATTTTAGAAGTGATGCACTGTTTATATGAATAAAGTGTTAAATTGACACCTGACTTCTTAAAGTGTTATTTTTATTCACAAAAGTCAAATCTGAAACTGTGCTTACAACATTGATAATTGCATACTATTATAAATTAGGAAAAAGGACATCAGTAGCATGTGGTTTTCAATGACAGTTTCAATCAGTAAATAAAAACAAAGTACAGATAACTCTTTAAGAAGTCAGGTATTGAGTTGACACTTGATTCATATTATGAACAGGAACCCACTTCTAAATGATAAAAATATATAAAGGATTGATTTAACACTATATTTAAATTATAAACAGCATCCTTTCTAAAATAATAATTTAAAAAATCAATATTTTTCAATTCTGTCAAATGTGGCTACAGAAAGGTATAATGAATTCTAATCTGCAAAAACTATTCCCAATGAAAAATTCTTCCTTGTTTTTATAAGTGGACCAGTTAATTAATGTGGTGCCAAAAATTTAAGAATTATCAATTATCCAGTAATAAAGGTCTAGTTGATAGGCAGCTTTGTTTACATTACAGAAAGATTTCTTCTCTTGACAGTTTATAAACACAAACACACTAAAGAAAAAAAAACAAGTTTGATAAAAATTAAAATACAAAAATATACAAACATTTTTATTTAATGACATCAAAGGTAAAACAGCAAAGAAAAACAATACAATCTTCATTCCTCTTGGAAAGTCATTTTTATAAATTTTCTTTTTTTTTTCTTTTTTTTTTTTGTTCATTTAACCTGGTTCTGATTCTCTGCATCCATTATTTCTTCCTAAACCTGATCTTCCCTTTCTTTAATCAAAAGATTAAAAAAAAACACAAACTGTGAGATCTGACAGGACACGTTCTACAATAAAATGGCTTCTTAAAGATTAAGTTTCTTTCTAAAGATTTTGGTTTTTAATCTAACATCTTTAATACTTTAGAGAAAAATCTGAATGAGGTATGGCTTTAAGGCAAACAGAACCAATTGAGGCTCTTCATAGCCAAGTAGGATACAGCATGCCAGTTCAAACAATGGTCCCTCTTATGAAAGGGGACACAGGTTCAAAACTTGCCGAGGAGCACATTTTCCTAAGTTTTCTCGAATGTGCAGGCTGGTAGACAAAATAAACACTGTTTAAAAAATGGGGCATTCTACTCAAATACAGGTATTCACTAAAAATCATGTTTGAAGTAATAAAAAGATTGACTTTCTATAAAATTAAACTGTCAATCTTCAGAAGTTCAAGTTGAAAAAATTTCATTCTTTCAGTGATTTTTTTTTGTGCAGTAACATTGGATCAATTCACGAACAAAGTCAATGGCAAGAAAAGGGTTAAACTCACATACAATTCACTTGTAAAAACATTTTAAATATTAAACTTAAAAAAGAAAACTTATTTTTTTCAGAGGAAAACTCTTCCTTTTGTTCTAAGCTGATAATTCCAGAAAAATATCTATTTTTCAAAAGGTACAGATGTGATGCTTGAATTGGCTTAGGACACACAAAGGCAAGCAGGCCCTAAATAATTTTACCTGGGTTAAGATTTATGACTGCATAGACATCCTTTCCCAACAAGTTTTTCTTTTTCAAATTTTACAAAGGGAAATAATTTGAGATATTTTTGGGAAAAAAAAAATTTCATTGTATATTGTTAGAAGCAAAAGTTGTTAAAAATATCCCATTTTTATTTATAAAACAGGAAGACATATCTAGAAATGTTATCTGCGATCCGCCTCATCTTCAACAAGCTATTCCTCAGTAGAAAACAGAAATAATTATAAGCATCTTTAGGGAGAATGTCTTTTTCTTCTTTTTTTTTTTTAAGAAAGGAATAATTTTAAATGGAGACAATTGTGTATAAGCAACACAAAAACAACTGAAAGATTTTAAAATTTTACTTCCCTCACTCAACAAACAAAACAATTAAAACAATATTTTATCAAAAATATAACAGTTCTTCAAATTAAAATATATTTAAATTTTGAGGATCGGTCTTTTTTTTTGTTCATTATTACATTCATAAATAATTTCATGTATATAAAACATTTTTCTTATCAAAGATAAAATTCATCAAAGTTTTTACAATTTCTTACAAATGCTCCTAGAAAAGTCGATGTACTTCTAAGTTGCCTGCCAAGCTAACATTAATTAACCAAGAATACCACTACATTGATATTGTGTAGAATTAATAGCTTAATTAATTCACAGATTAAGACCTTAAAGTGTTCACTTCAGCAAAGAAAATATGCTTTGAGGCAATATAAAACTCTGCAGCTAAAATACAAAATAAGGATTAATATTTTTACAAAGGCAAGAACAACAAAGATATGCTGTTGTAACCTAAGGAAGGTTACTGAATAGAATAATCAAATGAAGGTTGATAATGAACGATAATACTTAGGACAAGAACAACACATATAAGATTCGCCAGTGGTGCGTAGAAGTAGTAGTCAACTGCTAGAAGTGAGAAAGGTTAATTCCACAATGAATCTCCAACTGCAGACCACAGACCAACACATACAGTATTCACTACTGTATTTATGGGAATGGGGGTATACCCGTTGTCATCTGTAGGTATGCTACAACAAATACAAGGAAATAGGCGGCAACATATTGTGGATCAAGCAGAGATTTCAATTGACTTAATTGCAAATTTGATGATTTTAAATCAAGTGATACAAAGAAAGACAAAGAAACAAAAGGAGCAATTACTGTGGATCTTGCAAAGATAGATAAGGAGAATGTCAAAGAATAGGCAAATGCAAGCTTGACGACCTTGAAAGCAGAGAGCGATAAGGACATAGAAAGTGCAATTTTAAGGATCTTGCAGTGAAATAAGAACAAATAAAAGCTAGGGCAATTTTGATGCTCTTGCATACAAGGATAAGAACAGAAAAACAAAAGGTGCCATTATTTACATTATTCGGACTATTGTCCTCATCTTTGTTGCCATATTTATCACAATGTTTCGGCCGTTGTACACTCCAGCCTTCTTCAGGTGGTTGGAATGTCGAACTGAACCCTTTATTTCGCTCACTGGGGTAGACTGTTCTAGTTCCATGTGCCATGTTTTCAATGGATCTCAGTTATCTCCTGTTAATTCCTTTTATCCACTGTGCCATGCGTCCTCGAGGACACATGGCACAGTGGATAAAGGCGTTGGTTAGATCCAGTGACAGGACCCAAAGAGTGTGAGTTCAATACCCAGTTAAGGCAGTGGAGAACTTTCAGAGGGAAATTACCAGGAGATAACTGATAACTGACATCCGTCAAACATTGCACGTGGAACTAGAACAGTCTACCCCAGTGAGTGAAATAAAGGGTTCAGTTCGACATTCCAACCACCTGAAGAAGACCGGAGCGTACAACGGCTGAAACGTAATAAATATGGCGACAAAGATGAGGACAATAGTCCGAATAATGTAAATAATGTACATAATACCTCATCTCAGAAATATAGACAGACCCAAAAGGGATTGGAGAGATAAGAAACAAAAAGCAATATTGAGGATCTTATGCAGAACACTAAGGAATGAAAGAGTTTTAAAATCTACTGTAGTAAGACAAGATCAAGGAAAACATAAAATTTTTAAGATCTTAGGAAGTGAAATAAGGTACAATTGTGAGGATTGGGTGTAGATACAAGAACTAAAACAATGAAAAAGAAGAAGCTATTTTAGTTAAAGTTGATTCATGAAAGTGAAAAAAAAAAAAGAGGAATAACTTTAGTTCAGGTTTGTGTGTCGATAGACAAGAAAAAAAAATCCAAATTTTATTTGAAGCTCATGTGTAAAGATATAAGAAAAAAAAAAAAAGAAGAGTGACAAGAACAAACTAAAAATAATTTTCAATTGGAATATAATTTGACAAAGTTGGCCTAATGGGTAAAATTTTCAGAATTTTAAAATAATAATAATACAAATCCAAAAAATATACAAAAATTATAATATAATTTTTATCAGGCTAGCAGAATTTCTGCCAAAAAGCACTAGAGCTATAATCTTCAATAAATTAAGAAAAGCTCAATGAACTTATCTGATTAACTAAGACGTCTGATAAATAAATGTATGATTTATCAAATATCTGACACTGACGAGTGTTTTGACATGAAACTCTTGGGTTGGTCAACCAGATGAATCACTTTAACCCTTAAGAGACAGGCTACAGGCTGAAAAGTTGAATGACATAGAAGACAATTGGGCCAATTCATCAAGTCTCAAGATTAGATAGCTTCTCTTCATACCAGCCAATCAGATTGCTTCTCACATTTCTTGCATATCTAGGCCTTTCAATGGTGGTTTCTATGATAGTTTGCTGTTTTCTGTGATTTTAATATGGACTTTTTTTGTGTTCCAAGTGAGGTCTTGTGAAAAGGGCTCCATCTCCTTGGCACTGAAACTCCAAATGAGGCTCTGTCTTGATCAATTGAATTTTAAAATATAGAAAGGAAGAAATGACTGACCAAAGTTAAATGTGAAAAGTTGAAATGACAATTTCTGGATGTAAAAATGTACATGTACCTTATTAAATTCATATACAGCAAAGTTTCTTTAATAATCTCAAAGCTATCAGATATGTATATAAAAAAAAAAAAGATAAAATTTACATATATTATTGTACATATGAAAGAAAGAATACTATAGTAAATTAAAATCTTTGGATTTAAAATCAGTAGCTGTTGCAAATTGTTTTCTTAAGATGAGCATTACATATTTTTAAATATGTGTTGTATGTGGTTCTCTAATAGCTGTCAAGAAAGTTGCATTCTAATTTTATGAAAGTAAAACAAGTGGCAGGCAACATAAGAGAAAAGAGTTTGGCTTGTTTTTTTGTTTTTATCTGAGATTAAGGATTTTAGAAGCAAGAGAAGAAAATTAAAGGTCGAAAAATAGTCAGGATGCACCAAATGTTAACCAGATTAATATTGGAAAAAAAAAAAAAAAAAAAATGAAATATGTTTTAATCATAAACAATTTCAGGAGCTTTGATGAGTATTTATTTCCATCTTTTATGGTGGGGCTTTTATCACAACTTTTACTCAGGCTGTCAATCTCAGATCAAAAATAAAGAATAAGTCAATAAGAGTACATAGGTGTACCTTTTATCGTCCAGTTCACATTCCTCCCCAGTCATTTGAACAGGAGTAGAGGTTTATCCCTTGTTTCCTGTTTAGGAGTGGCTTTCCAGTCGCTTCTAAAGTCTACTTTAACTCTATACTCCTAATGTCTCTGCCTTAACTCTAAAATTTTATTCGCTAATTAAATCTTAACCTCTTCAAGTCTAGAATTAGCTATTTTTCCTGTTATCTTGACTTTTCTAATGCTCAAACAATACTACAGAGTAACCCTCTACCTTGAGTGGACTTCGGGCCTTGTATTGAACATAGTTAAAAAAAAAAAAAAAAAAAAGTAAGATTTGAAAAGGTTGCTTTTACCTGATTAAAAGTTGCAATGAAAGGCAATTGATAAAAGTAAGATGAAAGTAAATACTAGTCAAAAAAATTAATAATGGTTGACAATGCTTCGTTTCATAAAAATATTGTATCAGCAGTAATTTAGTATTTACATACAAACATTTTAGACACTTCTTTCTACATTTTTTTTTTTTACATATACAATGAAAATAAAATTCACTGCAAATAATTTATGCACACACACACACACACATACATACATACATACATACATACATCAAAAGAATTCAATACATATTGTAGAAATTTGGTGTTACATTTTAGCTCATACTTTTTTCTGAACAAGATAATGTCATCTTCAGTCTCACAGTTGCTGAGTGCTTTAAGCTTGTGCCAAACTTGGCTACTCACCATGAAAATGATGGCCGGATAACTAGGAAATAATTTCCAGCCAGAAATAAAGCGGAGCTACCAATCACTAATGAAGCTGTTATTGAGCCAATGCAAATAACTGATTGGTTTGTTAAGAAGATAAGGCTCACATTTGGGGAATATATATTTAGAGAAATACTTTCTTTGTATTTCAATCAACCATTTATTCAGACAAATAGGAAACTGCAGAGACATACATCATAACAAGCAGGTAGGACAACACAAGGAATCAGCAGGAGCCAATAATCACAAAGTTCTGCGAATGAATTAGACATTGAAAAATGAATACCATTATAAAAATAACAGGATCGATGATGAGAGATGAGAAATGAAAGATCGTGCATGATCTCAAAATTGTAGACTACATGTAAAAACCAAAGTGTTTTAAACATTCCATTTAGAAAAATCCGGATTTGCCATGGAATTAAAAGGTCAATTCTGTGTTTCACAGTTTTTGTGTTTGTTTTCCAACTTCAGGCAAGCGTAACGACCGGCTTTAAAAGCACATTTTTTTAATCGAACTTTTGGACTGAATGAGACGAGAGGCCATGATGGCTTCAGTTTTTGTGAACATGTGCTACGATTGACTAGCTTGAGTGGAATGTCTGGATGGCTACGTTTACAATGTCGAATGACCATCATCTTCGTTTTAGCTGAGAAGCCACAGTGGCGGCATCCAAATGGGTGTTTGTCCATGTGTGTTGGGATGTGTTTCTCCAGTACAAGAGCACTTGGGGTTGTATAAGAACAGTATGGACAGTGCATCTTACAGCCCTGTGGAAAAAAATTGTGCAGTGAGATGTGACGCTGAAAGTGTTCACGGTCAGACACTCGGAATTGGCACCAAGAGCAACTAAAGAATAAGCAACTCTTACTGCCCGTCGATACTGCCAAGTGTTTTTTGGCCTTAATTTTTAGTGATGAGGAAATCTTGAGTCGTGGCTGAGCTTTGGAAATCATTCTTTTTTTAGTTAAGATTCGATTCTGCGCCTGAACAGCGGATTTCCTGTAAGAGTAAAATAAAAAAATTCAGATAACTTGATCATCATTAACAAAAAAGTGGAAAGAATTGAACAAAATTCAATTATTGCATTATGTTGTGAAACTTAAAAAACCTCATCAATATAAGGATTAACAGAAAATAATAAATTATAAATATGAGGTTACACCAACATTATATATATATATATATATATATATATATATATAATTTCTTTTTGTTTACACCATCTTTGTTATTAAATATTCCACATTTTGAAAACAGAAGATCTGCCAAGAATGGTGAAGCATTGTAGGAACCAGAATACAAATGTACTGTGAATGAACTAGTGATTAAAGCCCTCTTTAAACATTTTTCGTCTCTAGTGAATTATTTTCCCTTTTAATTAGAGCAGCATTTTTTATGTCAAAATTGTGGTGTCTCATTACAGTGAACAACTAATGCATTTAACGTGTTGTATTCTGAGGTTTCTCCAATATATCCTTTCTGGCAATACTTGCATAATAAAAAAAATTCCTCCTTCAAGTGTTGGATTGTTTTTTTTTTTTATTTTGCATTGATTAAGTCTCTTATTGTTTTACATGTAGCTATGATAAATTTTATGCTGAGTTTAGATGAATTCTTTTTTATTATAGTTGTGATAGAGTTAGTGGGTAGAACAATATATTTTTTGTATTCATTGGGTTTGTCAGGAGGAGCCACTTTTCTATTTTGGAATATTTTATGAGTCTTTTGAATATGAAATATTTAGGGTATTGGAGGGTCTTGAAAGTATTTTCAATATATTCTCTTTGTGTAAATATTGAGGGCTGCAAATTCTGAGTGCAGTGGTTGACATTTGTTTCAACCCAAATGTTGTTCGGCAATGAGAACATGTGTCTTGGCTATTTTTTTCAAACTGAATCTGAAAAAGTTCATTTTTTTTCTCATCACGTTTTCTCAGTACAGATAATTTCTATTTTTCTTAAAATAGATGAAAATATCCATTTAACAGTAATATGCCAGGGCCAAGTAGAACCAATCTTAAACATTTTCAGGTTAGAATAACTTATAAAAGAAAAAGTATTCCAATAACTTAAAGAATGCATTTTCAGTTCAGAAAAAGTTATCAGAAAAATCTCACACAAAATTAAATTAATGTCATCAATTTTTGATTCAAAACAAAGATATAAAGTAATAAAAAAATACATTAATTTTTGTCCATCCAAAGGTGTAACTCTTCTCTTCTTGGAAACTCTACGGTGCTTTTGAAAAGGTTGATCTCTTTTGATGCTCCAGCAGAAATCAGCCATCATGTTAACATCCCATCTGCAAAGTGCCAAGTTGGCTATGCCTATCTGGTGTTTGGCTGCTATTTTAAGTACTGTTAAAGAAAATTCTAATTTTGCTAGTCTCAAATACACTCATTTATCAATGTTCCTATGTATATTATACAGAGACTGCATGACAACACCAGACCTCTGTAAATTCAAGTGATATGATAAATCTTGACAGTTTCAGGCTTAAAGTGAAAACTACTAATAAAAAAACTAAAATCAATACACTTGAATGACTTCTAAAGAGCTTCTTCTGTGAAAAGTAGAGAAGAAACACAAATCACAAAGTTTTAACAAGCTAAGAACATTGAGGGCACAAGAACATTTTCCAGTGAGAAATCTCTCATAAAATCATTTTCAGATCAGCTTATCTGAACTGAAATAGCTTAGAATTCATTTTGAATGTTATTTAGATACTTTTTCTTAAATGATAAATCATTTTAACATGAAATGTTTCAACTATGTCACTCACATATTTAAGCCATGGCATATCTCTGTGAATTAGGCATTTTGGCCTATTTTAAGCAAAATAGAAATTATCTGTACTGAAAAAACATGATGTGATGGGGCAAAATGGACTTGATTTTCAGACCCAGATTTTATTTTGTTACATAGCATATCAACCTCAATGGGTTACTTAATGCTGACAAAATTTTTTATTGCTGGTAATATTTTTTTTCCAGAAAATATATAGCCAGTAATATATTTTTTTTTTTTCAAAAAATGTATATTTGGTATTAAAACCTATATTTACACTTTCATAGTGTTTTGACCCCAGTTTAGGGGTTAACTATTTGCTCATAGCTGGGACCCTAACAGGTGCTACCACCCTAGATCAGGGTGAACCTGGGAAAACCAGCAATTAAGAGGTGGTTCCATGCTCCTCAAAACCTCCTGATCAGAGGCCTTGCTGTTGAATGTACTTTATCATATCTGAAACTTTAAAAGTGTGTCCAATGTAACGTCATATTAGTTCAAAACACAACTGAGTTTTACAAAGATGTCTTGTGATGGTCATACTCAACCTTGAGGTAGTGTTTATTATATGTGTGTGTCTGTTTTATATATATATATATATATATATATAAATACACATACACACACACACACACTATTAACATTGTCCAGACTGTTGTCTTCATCTTCGCTGCCATATCCACAACGTTTCAGCCATTGTACACTCTGACCTTCTTCAGGTGATTGGGATTTTTGAACTGAACCCTTTATTTAATAACAAAATTGTAATATATGAATAGTAAAAAAATAGTTACTGAGACATTAGGTTTATGAGTCCCCAAAATTCATACATGGATGTCCTCAAGGACACATCGCCCAGTAGATAAAAGTGTTGGTTGAATTCAGTTGGGAGTTCAATACCTGGCTACAGATAAGGTGAACTAAAACTTGGAAAGTTGAGTTAAAGGGAGATAACTGATACTGACACATGTGGAAGAGGCATGGCAAGTGGAACTAGAACAATCTACGCCAATAAAAGGGTTCAGTTCGAAATTCTAATTACCTCAAGAACGCCAAAATGTGGATATGGGAACAAAGATGAAGATAAGTGTCCAAACAATTTAAATAATTACAATACCTCATTTCAGGAATATAGACACATATATATAAAAAAAACTTTAACGAAACTAGTCTTTATATATATGATAAAAATATAGTTCTAAGCCATGCTATATTTACGGGTAAAAGTGCTCAATATCAGGGATAGAACATATTTAAATATAAAAGTGGGCATTGAAGTCAACACCCAGTATCTGTCCGATGCTTAAACAAAATCATGACCTGAAAATCGCGTTTTAAGCATGAAACAGGGTGTTGGCTTCAATTTCACCCCTCACACAAATATATATATATATATAAAGAGATAGCAAAAATCTTTAAACAAAGAGCTTACATTGGTATTTGTGTGGGAGCAAGATGAGTGGCATTATACAAAGGTTTGAAGCCAGCCAGCCGAGAGATATGTTAAGTAAACTTTGAGTAAATGTATTTTAATATAGAGGAAAGTTTTGTATTAAATTCAGGCAGTGTGACTTCCATCCATCATTAATTTCATTGGTATGTGTGAATCAACAACACCTATCAAATACATTACTAGGATTTAACATATTTCAAGGCAAGCAGAAATAAATATATATAGTTGATTTTTCAGTTTCAAATGGACAAGCCAGAAAGATATTTAATTTTTTATTTTTTTTTAAAAGAAATCTCCAGCAGAGGTCATCTTTATTTCAACTCTACCTTTTAATCAATTCAGGAAATTCCATCCTAGCCTTTAATTTATGCTACAAGCATGCTGGATTTTGCAACCACATTTTATTTAGTATTCATAAATTTTACAGTCATTCTTTTTTTATTATTCCATCACTCCATCTATTTAAAATTCAAGTGTAAATCAAAATAAAGAATAAATGTCAAAAAGGTTTAAAAAAAAAAAAACAAATAACCCCCCCCCAAAAAAAAACAGAAAACATTCAATACTATGTTAAAATTGATGCTTTATTTGAAATGTTCAAAACATTCAGAATACGGATTACAAAATTATAAGCTGATAAATTGTGAATTTATGCTAGACCACACACACACACCAGATAAAAAAAATTATCAAGCACAATTCAAATATCTTACTATTCATTATTTACACTAATTATATTTGGACCATTGTCCTCATCTTTGTTGTTGTTATTACATTTCAGCCATTGTGCCATCCTCAGGTGTATATCGATCCAGATAATCTAGTGAATTCTGAACTGAACCCTTTATTTAATCTACAGGGGTAGACTGTTCTCATTCTACTGCTCATATCTAGGAATATCATCCAGATCTTACTTTTATTTAGTACTGCTCAGTTACTGCTCATCTGTTTCCACAGAGTGGAATCCTGACCCAGAGACTGAATTCATTCAATGCTTTAAAACTTGGAGCCTTAAACCTAACCTGCCTGCTGATTAGAGTTACAATTGCTGCAGTCATGTTTTACTATTCAGACGAATATGCAAGACATTTCAGCTGTTGCCTTCTTCAGATGTGTCATCGTACTCAGTAACATTCTTTGAACTGAACCATTATTCAATCCACCGAGGTTAGATTGTTCTCATTCTTCTCTACATGCTTAGGGGAGATAACTCATATCAGTTAATGCTCACCTTTGTATCACTCCTCCTGAAACAGACATGATTTTTTTTTTCAGTACTACCAGACACAGGGATTGAACCCACATCTACCAGGAAACCAGACCTGTTTTTAACTAGGCTATTTGTCACTTTACAACACCTGAAAAATGCCAGTGAGTACAATGGCTTAAACAACTTAAGTATAACAAACAAAATGAGCATGCTGGCCTATAATAATAAATTGTGGTTATATCTGTTTAACAAAAGAGACTCAGAACACAATCACAAGAGATAACTAGTTAATGTTTATAACTATTTTTTTTTTTATCTGTAAATGCACTTTTAGGTATTGAACATAGCTTTTATTAACAAACTGCATATATATTTTTCAGACACCATTTAGACATTAATGGAAAGATAATTCCAAAATTCACAGCCAAAAAGAATATATTCAAGAAACCCCAAGATGTTTAAATAAAAAATTATATAAACACAAAAGAGATATTTTAAAAAAACAACACACAAAACACATTGGTTGCTCACTGTAACAAGACTGACATTT